ATTTTTGAAAATTGTTTTCCTGCGTATGACCCACAAGCATTTCCCCCTCACAATTTAAAGAAAGATGTGCACATGGTCCTCAAGTAAATACAGTAATTTTAAAGTAAAGGAAGCACCTTGAACAAGTTTTGAAAATTCCGAAAACTAATTGAAGTACAGTACAGCACATTGATATTTTCCTCCACTTGCTGGCAAGCCTGAGAAGAGAAAAACATCAGTGGGTTGAGGTCAAAATATTTCAGCATAAATTGCGGTTCCCACCCTTGGCAACCCCCCTGGTGATCCAGAAAAACAAGCCACAGGGGAAAGAACTAAATCCAAATGGGGAATGTGGGGGGAGGGACGTTTTGAATCTCCCCAAAGGTCAGAGTAATCATCTCCCTGCTGGAATTTCTTTCCCACCGCCACAGTTTCTAAAATGTCATTAAGATCTAGGTTCCCATACTTGATTGCTATCCGGCAGGGCACATGGAAGTGCCGGGGCACGATCTCTCACGCAGGCAAAACTAACACCCCAAGAAATGGAAATTTCTCACTCTTATGATTTTCACGGTAATCCCCGACATCAACCCACTACAAGAAGTCGGGTTTATTTTCTGCAACAGGAGACATGCCCAAAAACTTGAACCTTAAGAAAAAATTCATACTTGAAAAATTGCCACTTTATTGCAAGCTACTGCAGAAATACACAAAATCCAATAATTGCTTTCATGGAAGACTATACGTAACACATTAGAAAAAATATTGCACGAGATTTTTGAATAGGAAATTTCCTCAATTTAACGGTCCTCTCCTGATTCTCAAGTTGAAGTCGATGTCTTGTGAGAAGGCCTGGACCTGCAAAAAAAAGTCCTTCAGACATCTCCCAATGCATCCAAGCCAATGCTTCTCAAACCTTGTCTTTTACTTGCTGACACACTTGCAGACCAGTAGTGATCAACATCAAAACTTGAGACAGCCATACTAAGGAAGTATCCGCTTGCGCCATTTCAAACCTTGTGTGGCTGTGGTGATGAGATAAATGGTAACCAGCAACCAAGCAGCACCATCAGCTTGTGCAACTGGAGGTTAATTTTAGGTTCCCTATTGTACAGCCATAATTTTACTTGATGAAGCTCATTGATTTTGAAGAATTTTGTGTCATAATGACAGCTTTTTTTTTAGGTCC